AGCTATTGACCTCTGACCCTGTTTTCCGTAGACTTGATTGTAGTTCAGTATGTTTTCTTTAATATTAAAAAAATAAGTCCAGACGCTTTTCTTTGCAAGCTCCTTTGACTACGATGACCTGGATGACTGAGAACCTTCACAGACAAAAAAATATAAATTTTCATGGTTTTTCATGTTTAATTTGTGCTTCTCAGGCTGTCAAACGTGAACTTTTGGTATTCATGAAGCAGTTTTATGAAAGATATGTCTCATTTTTTCTGTTAAGGAGTTACACGTTAACAAATGAATGATTGCACATTAATTTGTTTAAAGGTATTTAAAATCTTTAAAACTTAAAACTATTTTGTTTTTACATTACCGGGTCAACATAATGACCTCTCGTTGTTGATTTTAGAGATATTAACAAAGTCAAACTGGAGCTTTTCTTTCTTGTAATACTGTTTTGAATCAGGAGATGGCGCCGTGATTAAATTTAAACTTTAACTGTTAAATTGGTCACCAAGTAAAAGCAAAAACTATTGGTGAAGCCAGAGCGCGACTAAAAAGGGAGAACATGTCTCAGCTAGCGCTGCCCCCTAGTGGTGAAAGTTTTAGTTTAAAAAAAAAAAGTCCCTTTAAATCTGGAGCCAATAACAATCATAATAATAAAAATAATGATAATAATAATAATAACAATGACTGTCAGGATTTTGTGGTATTCTTCATTTTTTTCTGAGTGTCTTGTGGTGTGGTTGTTTTTGGGCTAATGCAGGAATAATTCTAGTGTTTTATTTGCCGGACAAAAAAAAGTTGCAAATTTCTTTTAAAAGGGGCTGTAACATCAAAAACATTCATCAGAATCAGAGCCGCCCGGTACTGTCAGCCATCAGGGCTGTGAATCATCTCTAACCACTCGCCGCTGCCTTTAGGAAACACTCGTCTTTCACTCGTCTCCCACGGAGAGAAACAATTAAGAGCCGGCAGGCTGAGGACGGGGGGCGCTGGAACGCTGCCACTGCAGGATGTCCCGGCCTGTTTTCCCGCTCCTCCTCCTCTCTGTGGAGTGTTTGATGTGACTGTTATTAAAGGTAAAACAGAACCAGATCGGCTTTCAAAGGCGGCGATTTACAGGAAATATCTGTATGTATATAAACACAAGCTGCTGTTGAGGCCGCCTGTGTGTTCTGCTCTGGATATTTTTATTATTCAGCAGGAAAAGCTGAATGAGAAGCAGCAGCTCAGTCATCAGGCTTCACTTACTCAGTTTGCTGTATGAAGCAGGGGGTGGAGGAGGGCATCACGGGAACCTCCGGTATCTCCTGCTGAAGCTGTTTGTGTGCTCACACACCTGGTGTCTGGGCGGCGTTGGCGCTCAGCAGTGTGCAGCCTCCGACCTGTGTCCGCTGCTCTGTTAGTCTTAGAGACTCGCAGTAAAGCAACATTGCGGCGAAGCCTGAATCCCTCACAGCTTTGTAGATCTTTGATTTATAAAACTTAACAAGTTTCAGCATTTTTGAGATTATACCTCTGTGCTGTAACAGGGGATCCACCCCCGAACTGAGACCGCAGGTAGCCTAACCTGCGTCACCGTGTAACTCTAACTCTATGTTGCTGCAACAGATTTTTTGCCACAGTTTTTGAATCAGTGAGAGAATAAAAGTCAGTGCATTAGTATGAAGAGTAATTATCATAGCCTCAGTATAAGGACTCACACATGTCAGCATAGTCCTGCATGGAGCTCACAGGAGGTGCTGCAGTGGATGTGAGGTCAAAAACCTGAGGGGCAAAACAAGAGAAAGCAAGAGTCATAGATAAAAGCGCTGTATGAATGTGTGTGTGTG